CTGTCATAAGCCTTCTCAAGGTCGATAAAGACCATGTGCAAGTCCTTCTTTTGGTCTTTAAAATATTATATTTCATACAAACAAAATAAAAAGTAATATTCATATTAATATTTTAAACTATTTTTACACTAATCAATATTTATATACTAATTTAATTTAATTGATTTAGTCCGTTCATTGTACGGGGCTATTCATTATTTGTATGTAATAAATTTTAAAAAGTAAAATAAATATGTAAAAAGACGTGGCACTTAATTGGAATAAGAACATAGAAAAAGTGAAATCCAATTTCGTCGTCCCAAGCCCAACTTTAAAATTTGGGCTCAATAGGTGGATCCATGCCCTCAGACTTTTGCTTGATTCAAAAGTCAAAGATATATATTTTTATTTTGAAAAAAAAAAAAATTAGGAAATTATTTGAACATTTTAAATCAAAATCATTCCTCCGTTTTCGTCGCTTATTATCTCTCTCATTTCTTATCCTAATTCCTAAAACCTTCAATTTGAGCTCCCAATCTCTCTCTTACCGCCAGCCATATCTCAGCTGTGTTATTTTCCTTAGTGTTTTACGGTATATTTGAGATTTAAGGTTGTTGCATCGATCCTTTTAGATTAAGCTATTCATTTCCGGTGGATTTTGGCGATCGGAGATGGCTTCGGCGTCGCCGGCGATGAACAAGATAGAGAGGGCGCACCAGATGTACCGGGACGGCAAGTACCGCGACGCACTGAATTATTACACCGACGCGCTTTACGTGGCCAAAACGACGCCGCAGAAGATCGCTCTCCACAGCAATCGCGCCGCCTGTTATCTCAAGCTCCACGATTTCATCAAGGTATCTGCTTCCTAACTTCGGATGACGAAACTTGTTTAGGATATCTTGATCGCATGTGCATTTCATCAGTGATTTAATTTATTTTTTAGGGATTTTTTTTTTTAAATTATAGAGGTATCAATTTTCATTATTCGACAAACCATACTTCATTTTGTTCTTCTCGCCATGGCTCCATGAGTTAAAAACTCTTTTGTGCCATATTAAGGTTTTTAATCGAGTAGGCAAATTGTCAGTTTCAATTACATTGGGAAACAAATTGGAAAAGAAAGAGTTTATATGGCAAATTCTAAAAAATGGCATACTTTGGGAGGTTAAAAAAAAATTCCCTCTTTTTTATTGGGATTTTATGGTCTATGGTACGGGCACTGAAAGCGCTTGTAGTGCTGATTTTGATATAGATGAAAGAAACAAAAATGGTCATCTCAGCTGCTATTCGTGATAGATATAGAAAGGTAGGTTGAGGGAAACATTAATTGAGCGAGAATGCCATTCAAGAGCTTTAGAGAATCTGGTGGCATAACTTTTTTAACTTATTATTATTTTTTTTATTTTTTGTTTAATCGGATCTGATTGAGCTATATAACTCCAATGAAAATTGTTATGTCATACAGTAACTTCAATGGCAAAACTTGATCGAGCTTCCTCGGTTTCTATTAG